ATGTGTCTTCGTCGGGGCATTGGTTGGGGAACTCTGACCCCTGAAGTGTGGTGGATCTAGAAATGGGAGTAAATATAGGTCACTGGACACAGCAAGAGCATCCTCAAGGTCAAGGTCATGGGACAGCTGCTACTCTGCTCTGCCAGCTCTAGTCACCATCAAGCCACTCTCTAGCTTGTCTGTGGAATGGCAGCCTGGCGATTAAGCCTCTCCATGTTCCAGACTATATTTGTTTAAAATGGTCATCTCCCATCACCCTCTGGTCCTGGGGCTGGTGTCTCATGTTACACTCACTAGGATCACTTCTATCATCTCTTTGTCCTTACTTCACCTTCCCCCTGCTCATCAACAATACATGATTGCATTGCTTTGCCTTAGGCTCTGAAGTCTGGCTCAGACACGGTCTCCATATTCCTGTGGGCCCTGGCTCACAATAGTATATCACCAATCTCTTCAGTGTTTCCAAACTTTGGGTCAACAGATATTTGCTGATTGTTGAAGCTCAGATTCTATGCTGTGTCCTTCAAATTATGCCTTTCCCATTTGTAAATGAAGATCTTGTTCCCACTTTTCCAACCTCACATGTTTTCATTGGTGATTTCCATTACCTGAAAAACACAGTCTGAGCTCCTTATCCTCTCTCTAGAACTGTGTATGTGTTCTGTTCCATGACTAAGCTCACAGCCTTCCTTAGCGGCTGCAGGAGCCTGCTTAGCTCTGCCACAATCAAAAAAACCAACCAAACAAAAAAAAAAATGCCACCCAGATCATCTTCCCAAGATAGTGAAGCCAGGGACTGGATTTACCTCCTGCCTGAAGCAGCCAACAAATTGACAAAATGTGTGAGGATGCAATAAAGGACTGTGGTCCCTGGGAGAAGGTCAGCAAACAAGGGGAGTCCCACAGTCCCCTCTCTTGCTGACTTCCTGAAGAAACTTCCCCCAGTGCTGAGGAAAGAACTTAGGAGGCCTCCTGAGACTTCCTGAATTTGGGTGACACAACCAAAAGTATAAGATGGCCAAGACATGGAATAGAGCTCTCAAGATAGAGTGAGGGGAAGACCTGCACACAGACAGAACTGTGGGGTCTGTGGAGGGTGTCCTGTAAGGAGACAACATAACCACGCCTCCTAAGGGCTAGCTACAGGTATGCTTGACCATGCCTGTCAGGGCATGGTCAAGGTGAGGTTACGATGATGAGTGTTAGGTTCTTAAGGGGCTGCAGGCACATGGGGGCCCCTTCTCTCTGGCCTGGCTGCCTTGCTGCCCCTGGCATGCTCTGGCTTGCATTTGGCTGGTGTTTATCTGAATAAAGATATCTTAACCATACGGACTATGGATTGGCTCTCGTTATAGTATCCCTTGGGTATTCTGTTGAACACTATTAGCATATTCTGGGGAAGAAACTACTAGAGGCCAGGGACAGAGCCACTTGAAAGGATTAGACACAACGTCTGGGCTCACAGGGCTGGCCAGAGTCCAGTCTTACATTGTTTAAAGGTGTTGAGATGGCAGGAATGAGCCCCAGAGTGAGCACTGCTTAGCTTTTAAAAGCCAGACTTTCATTCTCTGATTCCACATTTACACAGAGCTGTACAACCTTGTGAAGCATGAAATGCCATTAGCTAAATTTACCTCCCACAGTATTGTCATAACCACACCCTTTTTCTATCGCACAAGTTAGCATTGAAGTTCTAAGGAAAGGGGGCACACAGTGATTTCTACAGTGACAGACAGTTTATAAGAGAGTGGGAAAACTTCCTAGAGGGTGTTATAGAATTGAAGACACTGACTCAAGACTACAAGAACAAGCCCTGGAAATGCTGCTGGACTAGACAATCAGATGGACACATAGACCCCCATGCATGCACAATGTCAGTCACTGAAAAGTCATCTTGTATTTCCTCTCAGGGATACTCACCCTTTGATAGATTATTGTGCCTAACCTTGATAGATACCCTTGTCTTTCCATGAAAAGATAGTCTTTACTGGTATCATTGGTCAATTTTGTTAATCTTGGGGATCATTTTTGTGAATTCTATTTATGGAATTTGAGAATGAAGTTCCTAAAGAATTACCTTTGGACAGTTAAATACCATGAAGTAGACCCTCTAAGACAAAAAACAGTGCCATGAAGCAGACCTAAGATGGAGAACATTGTCATGAAGTAGACACCTAAGATGGAGAACAATGTCATTAGGTAGACCTCTAAGATGGAGAACATTGTCATTAGGTAGACCTCTAAGATGGAGAACAGTGTCATGAAGAAGACACCTAAGATGGAGAACAATGTCATTAGGTAGACCTCTAAGATGGAGAACAGTGTCATGAAGAAGACACCTAAGATGGAGAACAATGTCATTAGGTAGACCTCTAAGATGGAGAACAGTACCATGAAGTAGATATCTAAGATGATGAACAGTGTCATGAAGTCGACCTCTAAGATGGAGAACAAGGTGAAGGTGTCTGCTTTTGTCATCTCATTAGTCTTGTTACTCCCAGTGGTCAGAGTCCCAGCTAGTGCTATAAGGCAAAAAAAAAAAAAAAAAAAAAAAAAAAAAAAAAAAAAAAAAAAAACAAAAAAAAAA